AGGTATGTATGGCTCTTCATTTCAGTGCTCTACTGTTATCACTGAATAGTCTTTAGGATAAAGCTCTTTTAAAAAAATTCTTAATTCAATTTTTTCTTCAAGTATTTGCTGCCTGTCTTCCTGACTGCTCCAATTTCCCTTGCTCTTCACAAGTTCCAGCACTCCAAAGTCCAAGGCTGTGTGTAGGCTTGTATACGCAGAGCCAATTTCACGCTCATTGGGTCAGGAATGATGGTCTACACCCAGGTATATTGGTGTTTTGGCACTAAATCTGGGATAAGGAAATGCTACACTGTATTCAGGAGGCTTTGCTCTTTTCTTGCTCTTGATTGCCAAACATCTCCTCTTTCTTCGTGAAATCAGAATTATAGAATCATGGAATAATTTAGGCTGGAAGGAACCTCTGGAGGTCGACCTTGGAGGTCCTCTGGTTCAGCTGTCCAACTACCCACTTACAGCAGTACCAGTCTCAAGGTTAAATGAGGTTGCTCAGGGCCTTTTCCAGTGCTCTCTGGGCCACCTGTTCCAGAGCCCAACCACTCTTGCTGTGAATTTTTTTTTCTTATACATAGTTGTAATTTCCCTTCCTGCACCTTGTGACTGTAACTTCTCATCATTTTGCTGTGCATACTGGGAAAATACAGCTCTGACCCCTCTATAATTGTTCAACACAATACTTGTTTCCCTCTCAGACCTTTTTCCAGGCTAAACAAAACCATTTTTTTCATCCTCTTCTCATGTATCATGTACTCCAGCCCAACCATCTTGGTCTCTCTCCAGTAAACTCGCTGCAGTTTGTCAATGTCTCTCGTACTGGGGAGCCCTGAACTGGACACAGCACTCCGCATTTGTCTCACCAATGCCAAAATTCTCCATGAAATAGCTTCAGCGTGAGGCTGTGGGTGTGTACATGCAGGCCACACAGCAGCTCATCTTGGTGCTTTCTTCCCTGCACCTCTAGATAGTCCGCTCAACCAACAGTGACACTTCTTTTCTCCAGTTACCATGCAGGTGTTACCTTCATTGCTTCACCCCTTGCACATTTCTATCCCTTTCATAGCCAGAGCCATCTGTTTCCAGAGTTCCCAGATCCCATTCCTTTGTAGGTAGCCTTACCCTGCTTAATAGCTATTTTTCCCTTTCTAGTATTTTCTTCTTCACTTCTCATCTCAGACTTCAGTTTGTCAGGGTAGACAAGCCAAGATCATTTTGATTACTTTTCAGGTTCTCTCTTATCTGCAGCTGTTCCAGGTGAAATTCCCCTTTCTTGAATATGGGACACTGCATTTCCAATAAGGTCTCATGAGCACATGGTATCAAGGCAGTAATACATCCCAGCCTCTCTGGGAAATACCTGGGATGCACTAATATCATGTTTGGTTTTCCCCTGATCACATCACATGGTGGCTCAGAGTAGCTCAGAAGACATCTAATACACTCAAGTTGTTCTCATCCTCTGTTCGTATAAGCTTTATCTAATAGCAGTCATTCATATTAATTCCTTAGTGAATGTCTTTGAACGTGGCACTATTAAATTACATTTCATTTTTATTACTGTCATCTAGTTCTTTCTGTCTGATTTCCTGATCATCCTCTGTATTGACTATACCACCTAGTGAATATCATTATCAAATTTTTAGTATATTGCTAGTATTTGTGCCAAGACAATTGATGCAAAAAAAATAAAATGAAAACATTAGTCCAAAAATCAATCCATGATCAACTCCACAAGAATCCTTCTTCCAGCCTGCTTCTCTCAGTGTTAACATTGTTCTCTTCATAAAATCCACTGTCTACTTTCAAATGCTTCTGTTATCTCCTTCTGGTTCAGTTTAACCCCATAGCACCCTATATCAAATTATCTGTGGAACTCCAGATATAGTAGGTCTCCACTGTTTCCTTTATATAGCAAACCTGTATTTCTTTCAAGGAATGACAAAAGATATCAGGAGATCAGACTAGTGTGACACACTCTCCCTTTTTCATCACATTAACAATTAGTTTCCATGTTATTAGTTGTTCTTTTCAAAACTTGTTCTAAAGCCTTTCATGCTCCAGAGATCAGCTGAACGTCCTGCAGTTGCAAGGGTCGATCTTTCCCTCCTGCCTCTTCCTCCTTTTATGAACATAGCTACTATGTTAATTTTTCTATATAAGTAGGGTATTTTCTCCAGTTGACAGATAAGTTAACCCTACTGGTCAATGAGCCCGTGAAGTCATGTGCAAGTTCTTCAGAATACCTGTGTAGATCCAGTTTCAGTGTGAAGGTCACTGAGATTCCTTTCATCTAAGCTGCACAAAGTCTGTGTTCATTTTTTCATTCCCATCTTGCCCCTGTGCTTAACATCATCATCTTTTCATTAAGATCTGAGGCAAGGAAATCAAGTAGTTCTTAGACCACACTGAAATTGTTTTGCATTTCTGTACTATCCACTACGAGATCCACACCTAACAGCCTTGTCCTCATTTTATTGATGAGATCCTTTTTCTGTTTATATGTCCTCTGTCATGCTAACCCAGCTTGAATTTTGGCAACGCTTTGGTCGCTCACCTTTAGAAACTAGGGCAGCAAAATGTGTAAGAGAAAATAGTTATACATTCTCCTCTACAAGTATTTACAATATCATTAATTATTTCTTTTTTCCCTGCTTAGCCTTGATTGCTCTTCTGAGAGAAGGAGAGAGCTTGGAGGATCTGATGAAGTTGTCTCCAGAGGAACTGCTGCTGAGGTGGGCAAATTATCACCTGGAGAATGCAGGATGCAACAAAGTCAACAACTTCAGCTCAGACATCAAGGTATGAGAAACACTGACCAACAACAGCAAAACAGCAGCTCCACACCCAAATCGCTGTCCTCCAAACAGGGATTGTGCACTGAAACAGTCCATGTAGCTGAGTCTGCTCTGACAAACACATGGAACTAGGTACATAAAATCATTTTAGTGGGGTTTACCTTTCCACTCAGTATTATTCCTCCTCCTCCCGACCTCCCAGTCATCACTGCCAGCCTCAGCACACCGAATGCCTGGGAAAGAATGGCTGCTGGCTCTGGGCAGGGCATATGGACTCTGCCTCTGTATTTTCAGTTCCCTGACTCTATTGCTCTCCTCCTTCCTAAATGTCCTTAAATGCCTCTTGACCCGGCTTTGGTTTGGAAAAGGCTGGACCTTACCCAGACATATAACTAGGTGTAGGGGAGGAGGATGGCGCTCTTCCAGTTCCCCCACTTGATCTTTCCTTCAATACAGCACCTGGGTTATGTGCTCCTCTGTCCCAACCTTTGCTATAACCCTGCATGCACTTACCTGCAAGTTTTAATTCAGTGGGACTATTCAAAATAATATAGCTAGATGGGGAGGCACTTGCAAGGATGGGTCTCTAGTCTGTGCAGCATATTTCATGTACTTGGGACTTCATGGGCTTCTGGGTGCAGATTTCAGCAGAGCTTTCTCTGTAGGACCTTCATTCTTCCTAGACAGATGTATTTGAACCTCAGTGGCGCACACTGATAAGTTTCAGACACTAAAGCTACAGTGTGAGGCCCAGTCAGCATCCCAGGGCTGTAGGAGGTGTATCGGGGAGGGTGTCTGAGCTGGATTCCAGGCAAGCCAGGGGCTGGCCGGCATACCAAACTCACCAGCCACGACCCAACCTGCCTGCTCCCAGCATAGCACGGGAAAAGCCCTGCTCCAGACATGTCTGCTTGTAGGCTTCACCAGGGACTGAAGCATGAAAAGTCATTTACTATGACTTACTTGACATACAGAAGAAAACACCAGGGAAGGCAACAGGAGAGTCTGAGAGTCACATTTGACAATACAGTTTTTACTGTAACACATTTTTGGTTCACTGGATGGAGGTGACTGGGGAATATCCAGGGACAGGGAAGGGAATAGAGTATTTCCCATCTTTCTGTAGGCTGGCCGAGAGGACTATAATGCAACTGATTAAATCCCATCTGCAATTGAAAGGTAAATCACACTTACCATATTTACAGTTGGAAAATAAGGCACACGTTTACCTCTCAGAGGCCAAGACTTCAGCCTTTACAGTCATTCTCTAATTAAGTGTGTCTCCCCACCTCACAGATCTATAAGATTTAAAATAATTCAGGTAATCTCCTTTATATTTTGAAGAGTATTAGTTAGGTTAGTTAGTCAAGTCCCTAGACACTAACGTGTAGCTTTATTTTCAGTTCTTCGAGGTTTTCATGAAGTGAGATTAATATTTTCCACATTGGATGCAACATTACATTTCACAAAATATTAAAGACACAACATGTTAAATCCTTGTCTTGTTCCTGCCCCTTTGCCTGAAAAATGCTGATACTGTTGTCTGTTTTAACTTTTGTCCTTGAAAACTATGCTTTCTTTTCCATAACTGTTCCAGCGTTGCTTTGAAATCCGCTTTAAACATCTGCTTTCTCCTTCTGCATTTTCTTTTATTAAATGCTCAGCAGCCTGACTTCTACAGCATTATAAAGGTATGCATTTTCTTATCTCTAATTTAATGTTCAGATTAAGTCAATTCAAATATTGCTTTGGTGTTGCCGTCCTTTATTGAAGTACAACACACAGCATTTTGTCTTGTGTGTTGAGCATTCTGCAGCATATATATATTGGCTTAGGGAAGAAATTGATCTGGCAAATACAGCATAAAATAAGAATTGCTAAGTGCTTCCAGCTTAATTAATTTAATTATGTAGCCCAATGATTGATGTAATAAAAACAAAGCATGCAGACACATTGTTCAGGGGAGCGCAGGCATGCAAAACCTGAGCTTTAGATGTAATTTTTCCTCCCTTTAATTTCTCTGTTTGTCACAGGACTCAAGAGCTTATTACCATTTGCTGAACCAAGTTGCCCCCAAGGGAGATGAAGAAGGCATTCCGGCTATTACTATTGACATGTCAGGATTAAGGGTAAGATGAGATAAGTTTAGAGTAAATGCCGATACTTTCTGTCTGTTACTTGCATTGCTGGCCAACACAGAGTTGCACCGGCATGCCAGAACAAGCAAACTCTTTTTAGCATTGCAACACGATCTGGTATTTCAGAAATCAAAGCTTTCAAAGAATTAAATGATGCATTTTTGCCTTTCGTTGGATATTATCGCTGAAACTTTAACAACCATTGAACCCCACTGATAAACTACTAACACGTAACAAGTATATTTAAATACATTTATTTGGGAATTTCATCAAACCATCCCCTTTTATATGGAATATAACTGTAAAAGCAATATGGTGAGATGGCTGGACTGTAGGTAAAGCCCATTTGAAAACACAGACCTGCCGTTAGTAAAAGTGGGAAAGAAAATAGCTATAAATCCGACAAGGACTTGCTTTAACAGCCCCACACCTAGCTCCACACACGGAGACCCCGAGTGGGTTTTGGATGCAGTGCTAGGCGGTGGGGTGAGGCTGATGGCCCCGTTTTCTGCTCGCGCAGGAGAAGGATGACGTCCAGCGAGCAGAGTGCATGCTGCAGCAGGCGGAGCGGCTGGGCTGCCGGCAGTTCGTCACGGCCACTGACGTCGTCCGGGGGAATCCAAAGCTAAACTTGGCCTTCATCGCCAACTTGTTCAACAAATACCCTGCCCTGCATAAGCCAGAGAACCAGGACATCGACTGGAGCTCTATTGAAGGTAAGGAAAATGCAAATAAAGGATGTTTCTGGGCACCTGTGCCACAGTATCCCCAGCTCTGAGTTGATGATATGTTAACCTAACCTTATGTCCTTCAGACATATGTTCACTGCACCGTTAGCACAGGCACCCTTGAGAAAGGGAGGCAGCTCTTTACCTGCATGTAGCTTCTGGTATTGTGGGGGTCTGTTCTGTGGATAGCACATGTTAAAGATAAAAATGTTTGTGGGATGTCTGAAGCAGTACAGACTATTGAGCGTGCTTGTTAGTTGAAATTAGAGTTGATTTGGCATTCCCTTAATTGAGAATATAATTTAAAAATCAGATCTTGCATAAACCTGCTGCTTGTTTGCTCTGGGTTGGGGTGAGGACCACCATTGTATGGGTCATTTGCTGAGCTTCAGGTCCTTCTTTCTCAGCCTCATACTGTTCATGCTAAGGCACAGGCTGTTCTTGAATTCTTGAAGGCATTTCAAGGCCAATCTGCCTAAATACTATAATATATAGGGCATGAAGAAATATTACACGCTGCACCGTGCTCTCTTATTTCACATGTCAACCAGCATCTCCTGTTTATGGTTCAGTGCGCTGTAAATTCTGAGTTACGGTTTCATCACAAAACACTTATTTTACTGGAGTGTTGTGGTTTGCAGGCCTGTTGATTGATGTATCTGTTGTTTTAGGTGAGACAAGGGAAGAGAGGACGTTCAGGAACTGGATGAACTCCCTGGGTGTTAATCCACGTGTAAATCACTTATATAGGTAAGAGGAGGTATTACACTTCCTTCAGATGATAAATACAGCTAGCAAATTGTTTACAAAAACATAAAAACTTTTGGACTTTATAAGAATATATGCTGCTTTTTTTTTTTTTTTTTAGGCCCCAAATTTTTTTCTTCCTTTTGTTTTAGCTTT